TTTGTTTTGTTTCATGAACCAAACCTTCATGGTTTTTTTAAGTCTTGGATTTTATCTTCAGGTCGAACCAGATCATACCTGAATCTGAACTTGATTTTATTATTTTCTGTTAAAAAACCTGGACTAAGATATTCAGTTCAAGTCCCGTCCACTCATGACGTCGTAGTCCTGCACCGCTGCAGCGCCATTAGCATGTTAGCTACAAACAAGCTAACTCTGGAAACCAAACATATGTTCAGTATTCTGAATGTTTTTAACGTGTCAGAGTCGAACATGGAAAAACAACAACAACAACTACTAGTCAAGAGTTAGCCACGAGGCTAATTTGTGTGAAGCTTTAACATGCAGCCCTCCTTAAATGTAATTTTTATTTTCTTCTTCTTCTTTAATGTGACTTAATGCTAAACCAGGACTAGCCTTGTAGCAACTGAATTGCGTAGTGTTTAACTCCTTGTTATTTACGTTTTATTTTACAGTATTTTATCTTAGACCTTGATCTTTTTTCTATTTATCTTTTGGTTAAATTAGCAGTTTGTTAGCCTTTAGCTACTGTTGCCCTGACCCTCACTCTCTGTCCGAACCAAAAAGAAGATTTTTTTTGTAGAAATGTAACGTTTGGTTGACGCAGCCATGAGTTTGTGGAACTTCACTTCCATTTCGGAGGATTCATCCATGACGATGTGTGTCGTCCATTTATGACAGTGTCTTCAACAGGAATAAGAACCAGATCATCGTGCGTAGTGAGCTGGCACCCTCCACCACCCCCGCCTCATGAGGAATAAAAACCAGATTATCGTGACCAGAGAGCCGGCAGCGCTAACCTGCCGTGACACTTTATCGTTGTCCACGCGAAGAGTTTTCCAGCTGAGGGTTCGTTCAGCTGGAGACGGGTCAAAGGTCGGTCGACGTGAAAACCTCTCAGCGATGACAGAGGAGCGCTGTGAAGTCTGGACGGCTGAGATACTGACGAGGCCTGTGGTGTGATGATGTCATCACACACACACACACACAGACAGTCAGACCATCTGAACGCCTTCATCTCCCTCTGATCAACTGGCAAAAACACTTGTTGTTTGTGAAGCTACAGTGTCGTCAGATCTGAAGGAAAAAACAAAGACAAAATCATGACGAGGACGGACTGTGACAGAGTCCGGTTGTTGATCATCGTGGAAACGATTGACTTTGAACACCAGCCTCAGATTTCCTCATTTGAAGTGGTCTGTGGGAGAGCCTGCAGCTGGGGTGGCTCAAGCTGCGGCCCCACTGTGGGTTCTGTCTCAGGAACATGGTGTGAAGTCCACAGTTACTGAGACAAAGACAAAAACGTCTTTACTGTCGCCTGACGAAAGACCTGTTCACCAGTTAGGAGTGTACGGCCCAACCAACACGACCACAGGAGCAGGGAAGGAGAATGTAGATTTGATCTACATTCTTCTGAACCATTTTGGCACCTTTTTCTGGTAAACCATGATGAATGTTTAGCAGGAAATAGACGGTAAATCATGGCGACAGATTTAGCGACAGATTTTATTTTTGAACTCCTCCTCAGTTTCTTTCTCGGTCAAGAATCGACCGGTGTTGACGTACAGTTCCACCGACTCTCCTCTGTTGAACGAACGCCTCCCTCAGAGCCGTGATCTGCCACCGGGGGCAGATTACACATATTAATGCCTCTCAGTGTGACGGACGTCTCTGTTCAGCTCCGGCGTTTCTTTATGGATTTACCAGGAACAGTTACATTTACATGGTGAGCTGGACTTTCATGGTGATCCTGGAGATCCATCCATCACTCCTCCCTCTGACAGACCCTCCTACAACAACAACAACTACTAGTCAAGAGTTAGCCACGAGGCTAATTTGTGTGAAGCTTTAACATGCAGCCCTCCTTAAATGTAATTTTTATTTTCTTCTTCTTCTTTAATGTGACTTAATGCTAAACCAGGACTAGCCTTTTAGCAACTGAATTGCGTAGTGTTTAACTCCTTGTTATTTACGTTTTATTTTACAGTATTTTATCTTAGACCTTGATCGTTTTTCTATTTATCTTTTGGTTAAATTAGCAGTTTGTTAGCCTTTAGCTACTGTTGCCCTGACCCTCACTCTCTGTCTGAACCAAAAAGAAGATTTTTTTTATAGAAATGTAACGGTTGGTTGACGCAGCCATGAGTTTGTGGAACTTCACTTCCATTTCGGAGGATTCATCCATGACGATGTGTGTCGTCCATTTATGACAGTGTCTTCAACAGGAATAAAAACCAGATTATCGTGACCAGAGAGCCGGCAGCGCTAACCTGCCGTGACACTTTATCGTTGTTCACGCGAAGAGTTTTCCAACTGGTCCTTTAGTTCATCAAACGGCC